AATATATACACTTTATCGAATCGAACATGTTTTGTTTTGCATTTATTACCCGATTTAGATGAGCACAAGTATAAAAATATATATACATAACCTCTTTCTCCTGCTAAAACCCTATTTGATGAATAATTTAATTCTTTTATGCAATTCTTACATGGCCTAAATCTAGAATAATATTTGTGCTCGGCCTGGACACGCATTAAACGCATACAAGTCCAAGGCACAAGCACATTAAGTCATATGTCACGCAGATATTGCTAATTTGAGTCTTATTTGGGCATACAATATGATACAGGGGCTCCTATACAAATGCCCTAGGCTTTAATTATCACCTGGTCTTATAGCCATTAAAGTCTAACGTGAAAACAATTTTTGCATGCCTTGGCAGGTGGCCAACGGCCAACGTGTGGCAGCCATTGTTCATAGTAGTTCCGCTTCCCGTTTACCCCCAAAATGACAACATTTTTGCTGGCGCTGTCGCCTGTCACTTGTCTGCCATCTACTGTCAAAGTGGTCGTCATAGTTAGCGTTTCAGTTTTCGAAAAACCCACAAAAGGAAAACGAAAAACTTCGGCGGCAATCTCAATAATTCTCACATTAGCTATTAATAGTATATAAACAATTTGCATATTGCATGAGCTTGAAGCCAAATAAATTCTAGGCTGGGACGGCCCGGCAGAGTGTGGTAACTGAATAATTAACACGCCCGACAAGTTGTCAACTGTTGCCTGTTTTATTTTCTGCATGGCTTAGCTTATTACAATTCAGAATTAAAATTCAGCATTGCGATTAATAAATCCAATATAGGGACGCACATCCAAATAGCTGGCTACGATGAGCTCTTTATCGTCCACCTTTCTGGAGTCGAGCAGCAGGCCAACCAAGTAAAAGTATTGCGGCTCATCCGAGCTCACCTCTATGCCCACCAGTGGTGCACCCACGTAATACATCTTCATGCGATCCTGATAGCCACAGACGGTGTGGTTGTTGGTAGTGAGTGTGCCATGCTTTTCCTGGCAATAGGGTCTACTGATAGTATGCACCCAGGTCTTGTGCTTGAGCTCAGAATTGGTGGGCAGGCCGGCTACAACGAACAGCTGTCCCACCAGAGTCTCATGCAACGACGACGAGGGCGGCATGCAGACGGGCATTACATTTGTTGTTCGACTCGCATCCCGCTTGAGGGTGAGCACCGCCAGGCTGTGCTTCAGCGAAACTGGATCGTACTCGGGATGTATAGCGATCCCCACTATTGGTATTTCCTGGGCAGGCATTACGCAGTAGCCATCGTCAGCGCAGTCAGCCTCGTTTGCCTTGGAGGTCTTGTTCCATACGCCCAGCTGCACAGAGTAGGCATTGGCACGCCCATCGTACAGCAGGAAACAGTGGGCGGGGGCCAGAACATTACGCGGGGATATGAGCACGCCGAGACATCCATCATTCGGCAGCTTGGTCTCGTGTCCTGGTGGTTGGATCAATTAGTGCCTATTGTGTCCCCGGCTCGATATCTTACCATTTTTGTACATTATGCGTGCCAGCCACTGATGCTCCGTGGGCACCGCAAAATTATTCTGTCTTAGCAGCTCCTCCTCGCTTATGTAACCACATTTGGCATCTTCCAAGCTGGCTGATCGCACAGCTCCGGTGGCGAGAAGCACACAAATCAAACCGAACTCAAGCTGCATCTGGGAGCACGACTTGAAATTAACTAAACTGGAAATCTTATATCTATGACATTAGCGCCAGTAAAGGTATTGTGTTATTGTAAAACAATAAGAGGGCTGCTCGATAAGTCTTTGGCTTTACTTGTATTCTTTTAAAGTACACTCAGAGAAAAACATAAACTTTAATTTAAATCAATCACAAATGTTTTGAATGAACAGCCAAATCTAAAATTTCTTATCTCTAGAACATACTTCTAATTTAAAGAACTTCTTAATGCTGTTCTCATATACGTATATGTATCTCATATGTATTGGACCCAATGTGGATCCACTCTGGTTTTTGGCATCCCCACATCATTGCTTAAATCTAAAATTTAATCCCTTATGTTCAGTTACTTGAATGACTGAACCAATTCAACAATTCATCTACTGAGAATGGTCCTAACTATGAGCTTATATTGTTCAACCAGTTCCGCTTGTCAAATAAGCCTATTCTAAAACGTTACTCGCGACCCTCTTGTTTCACAATTACATTCATTAGAATTCCAGTTATATACTGTGCATAGCTATATAGTGGAAAGACCCAATCATAATAATCGACAAGCAAGTCAAGTCTAGTCAAGCAAGAAAAATATATTTACGGAAATTATTATAAAACAGATTTACATATGTTATACAATTGATGATCAATGTAATATACGCTCGCTTAGCGGGTATTCTCCATAATCCAGCGGCGCCAGGGTTTTATGTCTTGGATAAAGAAAACTGTGGGTCCTCCCTCACTCACCACCTTTACCAGTAAGCCCACCAAATAGAAGCTGCGCGGCACATCTTTCTCAATGTTCATGCCCATGAAGGCAGAGCCTCTATAGAAGACAGTGCGCTCCACAGGAAATGCGCAGAACTGATTTTGCGATGGGCTCGATTTTCCACTCAACCGACTACAGCGATTCTTCGATATGGCCATTGCAAGACCTTTGCCCTTGCGGTAGTTACTATTTTCAAAGCCGCCGTAGTGGAAATACCGATTGATCCATGAGGCGGGCTCTGAAATGGGCTGCAAGCACAGCGGTTGCACGTGGGCAGTCATTTTGATCCGATCCGATAGCCGTAGAATGGCCAAATCAATGTCGCCCGTAACCTTATCCGCCTGTGGATGCATCGTAATCGCCGCAACCGGTTGTTGCACGGGCCCAGGCACACAAAAACCTCGTTCATTGCAGACTAACTTCTCGTCGGGCTCATCCTTCTCATTCCAAATGCCCAGCCGCACGGCAATCATCTCCGGGTGGTCATAATGGTCGCGCACGCACGATGCTGTGGTCAGGACATGTGATTCGCTCACGATGACCACATTGCAGCCGGCGTTCTCAAATGACTGACCTAGCAAAGATTAAAATAGTCTCTATCAAAGGCAGTGCTCTACGGCTTACCCGCTCACCAGCTCACCTTTGCGTTGGAAGAGTACTCCCATCCAGGGGTACTCGGCGGGCTGCGTAGACTTGTCTTTGCTGAAGAGCAATCGCTCCTCGAGGTTGCCGCAGTTCAACTCCGCGCTTGCAGTGGCTGAAAATTCAGAGCATTAGCATATTGCTAATCATAAACTTAAATAAAAGCTGCCATTTACCGCTCAGCAAAGTGCCAACTAGCACCACAACTAGTTTTCCCAGAATTTTCATATTTCCAACATGCTGAGCCGCATCCATTTCTCGTCTACCCGAGAGCTCAAAGCAAACTGAAAGCCGCTTAGAGCAAGCAGCTAATCAATTTACAATCGCTCAACTTCTATGAGAACTAAATGGTCGGCGAGTTGAGTCAACTAAAACATTTTCTCACTTAATGCATTTAATTGAGAGAGATATCGCATTAAAAGCATTTAAAGAAAATAATAGCTTTAATGATATAAATTCTTTTAAGCGTTGAGCTTTTGGAATAGCTATGAAAAGAGTGCTCCTTTCAAGGATATCCCTTTTAGCAATACCCTGTATCCTATTTAACTTTCCATGTACCCTTGGATGGGGAGGGGAGTTTCGCAAAGGTGACAATAATTTTCGAATTTGCATAAATAAAAATTGTACTATTTGGTTCAGAGATCGAAACAGAAGAATCTGCATCGCCATCAGATAAATTTAATTATATACGCTTCTGTATATTAAAGAATAATTTAATGACTATATCAATATATAATACATGCGAATGATAGCTATTTAATCAATATATTTATATATACTGAATTGCAAATCTATTCATTCATCGATGGCTGGCCATAAACTTATTTATTTGCCCATGGCCCATTGTCTCTGGTCTAAATATTTAATGTTTCAATTAGAATGTCATTATCGCAGACAAGCAGTAGGCCTCCCAGTGGGACGCATAATAGATAAGTTGAAGGGCGCAAGAACTTTGATGTGGCCTTCAAGAGAGGGCAGCCAGCCATATTTAATGCAGCAGTAAAAGCTAAACAAATTGCCCCACTTGCTGTGGCAGGCAGCAACAATGTGAATGTTTATTGTTCACACAGACGACGTTGACTTTGGCTCAACTTGACCTGCACGCTGAGGCATTCATAATTCTCATTGTCATGAGGCACCCGCACACACCAATACGCACGGACACATCCACATATACACAAGACACATATAGCCATTGTGCAATCGTAAGCAGCGTTATCCTTGCTGCAGCAGGCGGTCAGTTGGCCATTTAGCAATGAAACCTGGCTGCTTGCCTTGAGTTTTTGGCCAACCAGCAGCTGGCCGAAACGCGTATGCAAATTATTTGTGCTTAACGTTGCGTGATTGGGTGCGGGCTTGCCCTTTGCTTGTAACAAGCCTTCAGCATTGCCTGCAAGATGGCCATCAAGCAGCTGGAGACGGTGCCCGCACCCGTTCGCCTTGAATGTGGCTACCCAGCTAATCGGAACGGACACGTGAGTGACTAATGGCGAGTCATTCGCTCAGACGGTCATTTGGAGTTTTGGAAAAACACAACCAGAGCATCTAAGAGTTCTTTTTGAATATCCCCCTACAGCTTGGATGAATTAGAAATATAATGTTTATAGTTACCTCCACTAAAACTGAACTTTAAAATTAAACTTTAAGCATGTTTTATTTGTAAGCATTAGTTCAAGGCTTAAGCCAAATTAACAAATTATAATATTCTTAAAGAAGGCACAATATGTTCTTAAAATTAAGCTTCTAACAAGTACAAAATATTCTTAAACCAAGAGGTCTTATTATAAGGATATATATTATAATGATAAATGTTTTTATGTAATCTATTTATTACTAAAAACAAGTCGCATTCACTCTGCAATCAATTATGACTTATTTTGATTGACAGGAACGGGACACTATGAAAGTCAGCGGCGCTTAGCAATGATAGAATGACGCGCGACGGCGAAATTCCAGCCATCTTTAATCCGAAACGCGTGCGCACACCTTCCGTGGTGGTCACCGGCGACTCCCCGTCGAATGGACTGTACAATAATAATAACAGCGGCGGCGTGGTAGGCGGTGCCAGCAGCAGTAGCATAAACGCTGTCGCTGGCTGTGGCTTCAGCAATGTGCTCAACTCCAGCAATCCGCAAATAACCCACCAAGATTCAATAACATCGAGCCAGCAGGATCCCAATGAGGTCATTACCATACAGGCGGACACGCCCACTGGCACGCACGGGACACAGCATCATTTTGGCGGCGACTCAAGCGAAGCACAGACTGGTCAATTGGCCATAGATCAGCAGCCAAATGGCCAGGCAGGCGAGGATGCGGAGGTGCGTTTTCGCAAGCTCAAGGCCTGCAAAGAGTCCTGCTGCTCCGAGCTGGCCAAGAAGGTGAGTGTCGGAATATATATTCTATATAGTAGAGGTTTTACTGAGGCACCAACGTGTCCGGGCAGATGTACTTTGGCGTGTGCGTTACCATTCTAGTGACTGCCTCATGGGTGGGCGCCACGCACTGCATCAAGTACATGTATCTGTATCGCGCACCCTATGAAGACGAGCTGGAAGATGATCTGGATACGTCGTCGAGCCGCGCCGAGCTCAGCAGCGAACTGGAGGATATACTGGCCATAAGCGACTCGTCGCTGCATCATGTCGAGGACGCCACCGAGATGTTCAACATACCACCGCGCCAGCCCATCTACTTTAATGCGCCGTTCTTTGCGGCCTGGTTCTTTACCAACTTTTCGCTGCTCTTCTTTCCCATCTATATACTGGGCCTCATCTCGGCCCGCAAGTGCGATAAGCTGAGCGAGATACTCGCCGAAGTGCTGCGTGGATTTCGCGAGCGTGGCTTCACCATTGGTGAGTGGCTTCACAAAGTGGGTCAATCGCATTCGAAATGCAATATGCAGGCATTTTATAGGCCGTTTCCTCAATCGCTGCCTGTCCTTCTGCATCCTGTGGCTGGTAACAACATATCTGTACACGCTGTCGCTGCACGTGCTCTTTGCCACGGATGCACTGGCACTGTTCGCCACAAATGTTGCCTGCGTCTATTTGCTCTCTTGGGTCATACTGCACGAGCAGTTCGTTGGCGTGAGGGTAAGTATGGGAGCCGCCTACCCAGCGTGCCATGGCACATTGGCAAAAATAACAATACCTACCTTAGATTGTGGCCGTTATCCTGTGCGACACGGGCATTGCTCTGCTTGCCTATATGGACGGCATTACGGAGAGTCGCACATTGGGCGGCGTCGTGCTGGCCACGTTAGCTGCTGCCGGCTATGCCGTGTTTAGGGTAAGCCTGTCAAGCCCTTTCGTGTGTTAGGCATGTCGTGCTCATGTCGCCAGCTGCTCCATTTTCTAGGTTATGTTCCGCAAGGTGATGGGCGATCCGCCGGTGGCCCAAATCGCATTCACATTCACCGCACTGGGCCTGCTCAATGCTTTACTGCTGTGGCCCGTTGTCCTGGCGCTATACCTGACAGGCGCCGAGAATCTGGCATCGGAAAGCATTCCGTGGAATATACTGCTTGTCGCAAGCGTTCTGCTTCTGGGTAAGCTTCTGGGTAGCAGCTGCACAGAAAATTTATTTACTTCCTTTTTATTGCTCTAATTAATTTTAATTGCAGTTTTTCACGTACTCATGCAGTTCAGCGCCGCCGTTACCTACAACATGTTTGTGACATTGGGTTTGATAACCGCAGTGCCCGTTTCTGGTGGTACGTTCACAACCTCTCAAATCTGCTGCTCAGCTCCGTTTCGGTTTCGGGCCAACAAATACTTTAGCAATGGGTATTCGCTTGAAGGATTTCGTGACCATATATTATTTTAAATTGCAATCTAAACTGTATGTATGCACATACATATTTGCCATTATGGGTCAAAGTAGTATTATTATTTCGTTTAGCTCGAAGTAGTTGCGAATAGCTTAAATAGTAGTACTCGAGATTAACCCGAATCACTGACTTTGTGCTCCATACTTTTATGATAAGCCCTCTATCTTGTTGGTGAAGAAGATCTGAGATTTGGCGGGTTAAGTTTCACCACTCCTGTTCGAAATGGGGGTCAATGTCTGTACGAGCAAAAGTTTAATCTACATGACACAATGCGTACATTAATAACCTTTTAATATAGACGGAATGATTTGATCCTAACTTTTCGTTTTCAACCCTTCTACATCAAGCGTGGAATTCAAGAGGATATTCCCCAAGTTTTGGAAATGGGTAGAAAAGCAACGTGTTAAGTGCAATACAAGATCGGGAAATACCCGCCTGTAAATTCTTTTAAAAAGGCACTCTTAACAGATGTGTCAAAATGAAAAAAAAAATAAATCCACGTCAACTGAAATCTAATTTTATCATATACACTTTATATACATATTCATATATTAGCACTCGATGTCATACTGTACAGTGCGACATTTGCGGGCATGAAACTGGCTGGCGTTATTCTGATTGCCATTGGATTTTTCCTCGTCATGTTTCCCGAGAACTGGCCCGACTATATAACGCGTCTGCTACGGTGAGTACAGACCTGTTTGCCATTATTGTTTTATTTTTGTAATAAGTATTATAATGCTAAACATTTATTATGCAATTATGATGCTAATTTTCTTAGCGATTACAACTCGTGCGTGTTTTTTCAATAATTCACGATTTTCGTTCGATTCGTTTTTTTATTGTAATTATTTTGATTTATATCTTTGTTTCATGCAACTATTTTTGAGTATAAGAAAAACGTATTTTCGTGTATTTATCATTTGTTGATTTGCTAAGTTCATATGAAATTAATAAAATAAACATTAACAGAAAAAAGAAAAACAAAACATTAAACTTATTAATTTGTCTCTAATATACTTGTATGCATAACATAAAAATATATATTTAATTTTATATAAACAAACATCTTGCAGAAAGAGCGTTCGTGCCATTCTCCGTTACCAATGTTGTTGTGAATTAGCTGAAATTCGCTATGCTCATTCGGTAGGCCAAATACACAAGCAAAACCCAAAAACTTCCCAAAAACCAAATAACTATTACCATTATATCAAAAAAACTATATTACATTAACATATTTGTATAAACGTTGGCATCATAAGATAGTTAATACCGAAACGTTTTAAGAGATCTTGAGCTTGAGTGCCACACAATATACCAGAAACATGGCAGATTTTTTACTGACTGAACAAGTATAATATATACTTACTATACTCGTATCTTATAGTAAGCCACACACAAAAATATACTATATGAAAATACAACACCCTGGCTTCCAAAGTTTGTGCTCACCCTTTCAAAAGATATACATACATATAAACCTATTATAAATGAATATGTTTCAATTTAGTTATACCTGTGTACAACACTCCAACTATATACATATATTGCCTTGTTACACAACACTACAACTATAAATACCTTTATATATATATATATATATGCCGTTTAACAACACTACTTCAGGCCGTTGTGCAGTTGGCCTATGAAAGCTACTTGTTGTTTTTCTTAATGTGTTTTTTGAAGATATTGTTTAATTGTTGTTAACACCTTTAATCATTTCGTTATCTGACGGCAGTTCAGAGATTTCTATAGCAAAAACTGCCAATCTACATACAACTTTTACATATACGTACATATATATGAACCCAACTTACAAATATAATTTATTGTTTTTTTTTCCGACCACCTTTGTATAAAATATCTTTGTATATGGATGTTGTTGCCAATATTAACCATGCTGAGGTTCCATTATTGTAGTTCTTACACCCAAACACACACACACACACACTCACACACACACATACTCAATCAATCTACTGCCGTAGCTTGACTTTCGCTAGTGTTGCGAAATTTGATTAATATAGACCTGTTAAGACCCCCAACAGCATTTGATGAAATGGATGCTATTGTTCTTGCAGCCTGGTTCCTTGTTTTTGGCTGCTTGTTGTGCGATCAGTTGATAGTACACGCTGCTTATGTCACAAGTTCTTTTTGCGTTAATTTTCATTTCGTTTCGTATAAACCACATGGCTAGAAATTTTTGTTAAAAGACAAAAATCTGTAAATACTTGAATACAATTTTGATATTTTGTTGTTCATATTATTTCTACCAATCTCTTCAACTGTGTGCACTTTGTAAACAGGGCGCAAGCATAATAGAAATCCAGATATCGTAGCATGACTGACTCAGAGTCCCCCATTGTTCAGTTTCTTATAGTTTAAGGTTATTTGTAAATTTACATATTCAAGAATTCTAGCTGTGAAAAGCAATTAAGAATGCGATCTATAGTGTATATGTGTGCGTCTGGTATGGTTACGGGAGCACAGCAATAAATACAAAAAAAATCCCCTATAAATAAAATATTGAAATAAAAATCCACATAAATTGTTAATTATTGGCATGTTTTTACAATCGTATTTATTGGTTATCTATAACATTTCCCATTGGCCACTTACGTTACTTTTCAAAAACTATTGACTTTCTGTTTCAGTTTCTCTTTGATTTTCTCTACTGTGTGTTCTGTCTCTAAGCTTAAACGACTTCTAATCTACTAAACTCTACACTATTGCTATATACTCTACTTATTTCTTAAATAAAAAATGGTGTCGACATTTCTCAATTGTATTTACAGAAGCATCATAATGCTGGGTCACAATGCGAGGTGAGTTTCGAGAGTTCGCGCAATGCCAATGGCAAAAAAAAAAAAAAAAAAACATTTATATATTTTGTTAATTTAAGCATTATAAGTCAAGGTGCTCAAAGCTGAAAGTAACTTTTTCTGTTATTATACGCCGTACGGTTAAACCGTACTCAAAACCCGAAAACTTAACAAAGATAAATACTCAACAGTTAAATATTGTTTTAAGTTCAATTGTGCTTTATTCAAAGCTCGACTCGTAACACTTTGAGCTGACGGGTTTGATTTTTTGACAGGGCATTACTTAAAAACAACAATATAATATGACATGATAAGTATTCCTTAAATATTTCTAATCGATTGCTTTAAAGAGGGTTTGAAGTTGATTTTTTCTTGCTATTTAATTTCTTGCATCGGATTGTTTTATTTGATTTTGTTCTCCATAAGCTGCAAATGAAGTTAACTTTCGATTATAATTCATTTTTTATTTGTCTCTTGTTTTTTTTTTTTTTGATAAGATACACAGTTCTAGTAGTTTTGAGTCAATCTTAAGTAGCTTAGGTACCAGTCACTAAAAGTGCTACTTATTTACTTAAACATTAAAAAAAATAAACATTAAGGTAAGTTCTCTCGGCGATATTTTGTCCTCTTTAATAAAAGTGCTCTATAGCAACTAAAGATTTGCAAATTTTTAAAAAGCACTCGTCGTTCTCCTAGAGATCTGACACTGCACAAAAAAATAAATTCACCTTCTCTATAAATTTTTCGAATGGAGGATGAAAGAGACTCAAGCAAAGTGTTTTATTTTTTTTGTCTAAGCAAATTGAATCACACAATTCCTCATTTATTTACTTTGAATACGAACAAAATTTTCAAATTAGCAGCTCTCTCTAGTAGTAAATACGTTTCTAATTTTCTATATATAGTAAACACCGCTAATCTGTACAATTGCTTCTTTTCTTCTTGTTTTTTTTTTCTCGACTTTTCTTCACCTCTGCCACGATCTGCCTACCCGTCTATCTATACGATTGTCTCCCCCTCTTGAAACGCTCTCCGTCTGCCTCTTCTCTCTCTCTCCCTCTCTCTCTCTCTCTCTCTCTCTCTCTCTCTCTCTAATTATTTCGACACTCAACACGAACTCACATCACACGTATCAACCTGGCTAAATTATCTACACAAATTGTACAACAAATATTCAACAACATTCAATTCTCATTGCAAAATTCGAACAATTAAAATATACTGCAAATATACCAAATATACCACAATAAATACCACGTAGCGGTAGGCCAGCGCTTTGTAAACGAGATGCTGCAGTCACCGGACCGTCCACGAGATATGCGCAACGGCACATCACGCGTTCCTTCTCGCACCACATAAGCTAAAAGTTGGAAAAACCAAAAAACCATAAAAAATCACAGATATTCTGTACAAAAAAAAAAAAACAGACAACAAAAAAATACATATATTTTGTAAATGATTTTCCAAACAAACAAAAAACAGTAAAGAAATACGAAAAATCAGAAAGTCCAATGGAGTTTGGGGTAAGTACCTCAACATATATGATTTGCTAATGCCTGTAAAATTGATGAGTAACTCGTAAGGTACAGTTGCCACCTTTTAGAGTTAGTTGAGGACAAGCAAAGTTCTCGGATGCATTTGGTTTCAAAATAGATATTCTTTGTTCTGCTTAAAGTCCTCTTTAAATTATGTGTTGTTCTCTTTCTCTCTTTCTCTCTCTCTCTCTCTCTCTCTTTCTTTTTACTTCTCTTGATCTCTTCGTATTACGTTTTTTTTTTGTTTAATTCACAGATCGCAGCATATTTATGCGTCCCATTATAAACATAAACGAAAATATTATGCCGTCAACACGAACTCATATGTTGTTTGAGCCAAGCGCATGAAAAATAACCCGATCCCAAAATAGAGCAAATTTTTGTAGCGAACGTGTGCGGCTTTAGGCAAGTTTTTGTTCAGCCCCACGGACCACAGATGCTCTTTATAATTGTCGTAAATGTCGTGAACAAAAAAAAAATAACAAAAACTAAAACAATTTTTTTTTACCAATTAATTAGTAAAAAGTACAATAATACTTGAAATTGCGAAACAAACGAAACGGTGAGCGCTTTTAAGTATCTTTTTTTTCGAACATTAGCTATAGAAACTTCATTAGCCACCCTCGTATTGTTTCTAAACTAACTTACTATACACAATTCTAATATATATTATATTCGAATATTTTGATTTTTATTTTTTGGATTTTTGCTATACCATTGTAAATAGCTGCACTTTGCTTACATTGTTGTAAATGTATTTCAATGTTTTTCAATTATAAATAGAACGGCACAGCTTACTGGATCTCTATATAGAAATATATATACATATGTGGCACCTGCGTATAGCCTCCGCTTAAACCTGCAATTGCCCTTTAATTACACGCACACACTCTTACACACACACACGAACACAGACACTGACACACACTTATTATGTAAATATATAAAATATTAAATGTGACATACTTAAGAAACATCAGTAAAAAATCAGTAAAAATATATTTAAAAAGAAAACATGCTAGCTAACAAATCTTAGACGCCTACAATTTTAGTGTCAACTAGTTAGACTATGTAAATGCATTGCTGATCAACTAGCAGATATCCTGTAAAAGTAAGCTGCCCTATAAAGTATATGGAAATATAAAGCAGTTGATCCGCTTTGTATATACGAGTATTTATACATACTTATTAAAAGCTAAAATCAAATGAAAAATGTTTAAAACAAGATTCATATATGTACATACAATGCATTAGAATTGAACACGAATTGCCTAGAAAATAAAGCAAATGTAGACAAACTATTTCTATGCCATTTGCTAATATCTTAACTCTTCTTTGTGCTCCACACTCCTACACTACTCTGATTAAACCCAAAAACAAAAAACAAAAAAAACACACACACACACAATATATACATATATAGATGGGGTCGCGGCCCTCGGAGCGGTATTTCAACAGGTCAGCATCCCACCATTATCGACTATCGGACGGGATACATAAGGTCCCATCTTCGTTCACCCTCTGGCCGTGTGAGATGACTGATCTATCGCCAACTTCAGCTGGGTTTCTGCATGGCAGCACCAACGCACACCACCACCAGCAGCTTGTACATCAGCAGCACCACCATCGACACCACCAGCACCAGCAGCAGAATCTGCAGCGACAGCACTCGCACACATCGCTAACCATGATCCATCGGCAGAGCAGCAGCCACAGTGTCCATGGCAGCCGACGTGGCAGCGGCGGAACTCGCGCCCCACCCACCGGCACAGGGCGCCTCTTCTCCTATTTTGGCAATGAGCACGAGCACGAGCATGATCGCAAGAAATCAGAGACATCATTCTTCAATTTGGGATTCCGACGCAAGTCCACGGTGGTATATTACGCGCCCACAGATTAGCCGCGGGTTGGTCAAGCTGTTGCATATCAAAAGAATGTATGCAAAGTACAGTGAGCACACGTTTGCAGCAACAACCAGGCAGCTTAGAGTATGTTTTGGGGCGTACGTACCACACAATATTATATCGTTACAAGTTTATCATATTTATATATATATATCGTTGTTGTTGTAAGAGTTTTTATTGAAATCACATGCAGTTCGAATTTTGCTCAAATATTTATTATACGCAACAAGTACAGATACCACGTAGTTCATAGGCGACACGAAATAGAGTTTTCCAAAAGTCACAGAACCCATGCAAAAACCCATGCACACTGAAACAGAAACAGAACCAGAACCAGAAACAGCATGAAGAGACAGATCGAGCCCCTTATAAAACTGAGCTCAAATATGCCCCTGAACTTTACTGAGTACTTACTGATATACACAACAAATATATTAGATGAGAAACAAGAGAAAAAAAAAACACAAAATTCAATGTAAAAAAAAAAAAAAAAAAACAGACACAAAGAATTGAATGATATATCGAAGCCAATTGTTTTTAGCAATTATATAGTACTTATATATAAACCAAATTTATAAAATAAAGATTAAATTATGAAACATTTTAATGTATACCCACACTACGGCACACCTTGAAAGGGTTACTAAAATCCGAAATTTATAACTCATTGTTGAATACAAAAATTCGGTATACTAGTCTAAGGGATATTGTTCGTAGACATCACATACAAATTTTAGAGACACATAGAACAAAAATTGCCCGTTTAATTGTAAGCTCATTTTAACAACTAAAAACCAGATGGAAGATCTAAAAATGATTTATACTCGATTCGTGGGTTATTTTATTTAAGGTGCGTTTTTTATTTGAAACAGAACCGGAACGGATTTTAATGTTGTTTGTGATTGCTTTTGAAATATTCGTGTGTTATGTTGTGTGTATTGTTCCAAACGAGTTGAATAACCGAAACCGATCTGTTTTAGTGTTAGTTATTGCTGGGGATTGTATGATTGAATCCTGATGCATCCACACAAGCATTCAATGACTGAGGAGCGCACGCTCCCTTGTTCGTGGCGACATGGAGCTCGAATTGAAGCATACAATTTCGCAGCTGCCTACTTTGTAATTGTATTGAATTATGTAGCCACATCCAATAATTGATTTGTGATAGTTTTTAAAGATGTTTAATAGCCAACTATATTATGCTACTCCCACCCAAAGAAAAGTGGGCAGCTGTCAGTGTAGCGGGAAACTGTAATTGTAATAGACCACAAAATAATAAAGAAACCAAAAAAAATAAAAATAAAAAAAACACTATAAAAAATGGCAAAATGTTTGCTTCTCTTTCATTTGTCTCGGTTGCCTTGAGTTAAATGTCAGTTGGTAAAAAAATCTCACATGCGGACATACTATAAAGAAACCTCAGTACAAAAACATCTCTCATTCAAATTGAAACCCTTCCAAAATTTGTTAAAATTCTAAAAGGATCAAAAATAAATCAAAGTTCGAACTAACGATTTATTCTTCATATTTCGCGGATAGCTTGGGCCGATCGTAACTAAATCGTTTCAGTTCAGTCGTGCACACAACTACCGCGATATAAGAGAAACGTGACGCCCGGCGATCAACGGGCGGCAACATTTAATTTGGTTTTCCAAGGTCTTGTGTTTTGTTTGTGTTTTGTTTCAAAAATAATAACCTTTAACGGAAAGTCCTTTTGCACTCGATAAATCATAAAGTTTGCAAATTTTATTTGAACTGTGTGCGTTTCGTTCGTGATTGTAGAACTCAGCCTTAACGTGGATGTCAATATGAATAAGTTTGGTAAGTGAAAAGAAAATCATGATTAATGTTATTTTTAACTATAAATTGTGTATTGTGTGTACAAAGCATTTACAAACGTTTCTTTTCGAGCTAAACATGATTTCTGCTTCGAACACTGCGTGGCATTTTGACTTAAAACTCTATAAAATATGGGCTATAAAAAAGTCGATATACATAAAATTCGAATATATTCATTCTGTCAAGGCACTTAATATTAAAAATACATAGAAAAAGAGATTGTTTAAATGGACGGACTTACGATTAAGTCTATATATGTATATATTCGAGCATGGAATTATTGTTTTTAAGGCACAATTAACACTTTATCGATTGTTTCGTTTTTGTACTGTCCTACAAACTGATATAGGGATATGTGTATATTCAAGAGCAGGCCAGACTCTGCTTAAGACACTTAAATCAATCAATATATATATATATATATATATATGTATATATTTATATATGTATAAATATACCACTTGAATTGTGTACCCGCGGCGCCGGCTCCTGCCTGCAGCCGGCAACGGCACAAATGGAAATGGAGGAGTTGCCCAAAACGCAGCGGTCGTCACTGCCCACCGGCGCGCTGTTGCCCTGATATGACTATGAAAAATGTGTGAAAATATTTTTTGTGTACATGTCCAAGTCCAGCTACCTATCATTTTTTTTTTTTAATGAAAAAAGAAGAGTTGGCTATTTTTTTGTTGCCCTGGCAGGAGACCAAGTCGAAGACCAAGTGGCTGATAAACTGGTTCCTGCGGCGCATAGAAAAAGTTCTCAGGGTATAGATAATAAAAATTCAAGCGCATATGATAATCAAGGCGCAAAAAGAGGAAACGCTGGCATATTTAATTCAGGCAACAAAAAAATGGCCAATGGACCATCGGACGCCGCAATGTCGACGATTTAATATAAGAAAAACACGACGGCAGGCGTTCGCTTATTTTTTGCTTCTACTTTTTTTTTTTAGCCAAAAGGCTATGGCCAGCCGCTGGCCAGGCAGGAAAGGTGTGCGTGCGGCACAAACAACCCTCAGCCTGGCTATAGAGGATGGGTGTAGGTACGGGGCCTAACTGGGTTTTGATGTTAACAGGTTTGCAAACTCTGAGCGAGCACACACGCACACAGCTGTGCAGCTTCACGGACATTAGCAAGGGCCACAGTCGCACCATCAGCAGCAGCAGCAGCAGCAACAACAGTAGAGACGACGCTTCCGTAATCTGAGCGCAGTAGGCGCGGCTGTTTGCGCTTTTCTGCTGCTGCTGCCGCTTTTGATAGAAATGACAAATAACCAGATTCATTGTAATAGATTATGTCTACAACTTAATCGCCTTGCAGATAAATGATGACAATGTTCAAAGGCGCATCTAGAGAATATAAAATATATAAGAATACATACATATATGTAAATATATATATATATAGAATTCGGAACGGACAACTTGGTTGGGTTTTCTTTGATATTTTTTTTTTTGGGCAACAGCGCGTTTTGTTTTGGGTGTCAATTTTGTGTCTTTCAGTTGCTGTTGCTTTGTCAGTTTTCTTTACGATTTTGTTTTGTTTTTACTTTTTATGAAGAGTTTGATGTGAGCTTCGTGTGGACGGAAATTGAAGTTAGATATTTGGCTTATGGACGTTTAACTAAATCTATAAAGTAGCGTTAACGTAAGGCCAATCAGTGAGATGACCAAACCCAGCGCCGATTGCAAGCCCGATGCACCAGCCAGGCGACACTTGAACATATCGTAACGCGTCTCCTTATCGGCAACAATGTTTTGATACTCTGCCTCAACCAACTGGCCGTCATAGTAGGTAATTAGATCCTCAAATGGATACTCATAGCCCTGCAGGCACTCACATTTATAGCCGCCAGTCTCATACCCACGTCCCATGATGGGCACACACTGTAAAAATGCAGAAGATTTTTTTAAGCGTTTACAGCTAGATAAAGTGAATACATACATATGAGGTTTTCTCATCGCACTTGTGCGTGCCCTTAAAGGCATTTGGCTCGTAGTACCAGTCCGGGCACTGATTGATGTCCAGCTGCAGCATGTCCATGGACACAGCGACCACACCCCTGCGAGAAGAGTCAACAAATTAGTCTGTTTAATTGCTCACATTTGCATGACAATGCGACTGAAGAGCCACAAGTCATAAGTTAGGCCATGTCAACACTCGAAAATTAGACAATCAAATCATAGAAACTACAAACATAACATTTGCATGTGAATGGCAATGGGATTGGGAACGAGTATGGGACTGGCCCTAAAAGGGGTGAGCAGGCCCGCGACGGCGGCACGCAGCGGACTGGCCCAACAGCCCGTCTAAAACCCAAACGAAAAGAGGGCCCTACCCTTTTTATGGTTTACTTACTTGAATTCCAGTTTGACTTTGAGGCTGTCCCACCCAAAGAAGGGCACCGCATAGGTCACCAACCACTTCTTGACGTAGCCATGGCAATCGAACTGCGGCTGAGTCCAGTAGCCGTGCTTGATGCTTGCAGCGCGATACGAGTTGGGGTAGTGCTCGTACTTTTGCTGGTATTCACCTGTCTCATTGTGACGTATCTTGATTTTCATGTAGAACGTCTCTAGATCATCAAAGTTCGTGTTCCAGCGCTGTTTGAGGAACTTGAAGTACTTCTTCTCGGTGTAGAGCTCGTGCGTTTTGTTGAGACGCGCCAGATCCTCCACCTTGAACTTGCGCGTGTTCAGCTCCGTTTTGTATGCATAGGGTGCAAAGTATGTGCGATTGGTGAACTTATTGCGCTCCCAAAGCGTTGACGCCGACCAGACCTTACTGTCGCCAAGCACAATGGCCAGGGTCTCGCCAATCATTTGATCCTCGGTCAGCGGTTTGTCCGCCACACGTTTGCCCGAATATACCTCATTGGGATCCGATATCTATGCGATATAAATGTTTAGCTAGAGTCTGTTCTTATTTTTTTTTTTTTTTTTTTTTGTTGGAATTCAGAAATGTCCCCAAGCATTGGGATTTGTAAGCTAACAACTTGAGCAAATATGAGCATAAAGAAAAATATAAGGCTAGAGGGAGGGTAAGAGGAGTCCAGTTTATGCGAGCATTTGCTTCTCTTTGCTGCTGCTGCTGCAGCGTCTGAAGCTGTGGCATTTAATGAAGACGACGCCTTGTGGCGAACCCGTTTTTCGTGTCCTTTGCGCTCAAACTAATGAATTTAGCATTTGGTAATGGTTTGACACTGAATATTTAATTCACGCCGCGGCTGGCAACTGCCAACTGGCAACGTATAACTGAAACTGAAACTGGCATTGCAGGAAATTCGAGGAAGTTGAATTACGCGTGGAAAATTATAATTTACACTTGAGAAGTTTTCAAGAGGCGACATCGAAGGCGCTTAATAGGTGTCGGGTTTATCAATTATTGCTCTTCATTTAGCGTGAAGGCGATGGGAAACAGTTTGGGCCCCTCACTAGTTGCACGCTTACCTGTAAAAAGGCGCTAATAAAGTTGGCCAGACGCACGGCCATCTTGGCTTCGTTTTCGAACTGCTCCTTGGCGCCAAAGCTAACATCGCCGCGCAATATCAAATCTTGTGGATGGAAGCTGTCAGGATTATAGCCATTAATTAAACGTACATAACTTTAGATTTCGAGCACTCACTTCTTGCATGTGCGATAGTTGACGCCGTGAATATACTTCAGTGCTTGATCAACGTTCACATGCTCCGTGTGCAGTGCTCTGGAGCCAGTCGTATAATTGCGATACTCCGAATGCATATCCAAGTACTTCTCGCGTATGTGATAGGGCGCCTTCTCCCACTGTATGGGCAGCTTTTGTATCCCTGTAAGAGACAATATATTGAATAATAATGTGCATATGCTAATTGCATTAACCTACAGCCAATTTTAAGGCAATTGTATTCATTGTAATACTGTTCCGCCGAGGCGCGTTCCACGATCTCGCCAAGATAGGGTCGCCGTACTGTGTTGGGCAGTCGGTAGCCCGGCTTGC